GGGGGGGGGGGGGGGGGGGGGGGGGGGGGTTGAAACTACACGAGAGCGAATAAATTATGTCAGAATGTTCAGTTGTGTGTAAAGGATTCCTGCCGTTGTTTTTCGAAGCGCTTTCTCGTCGAGCACCGCGGGTCCACTCTGACTACCCGTAACATGTGTGTCGTGTTGTGTGCGGTAAACACTGAGAGGTCTGTTTTTAACATGAAATCTGATCCTGATTCCTGCAGTGCAGTAAATGCAGAAATACGCCTGACGAGGGAAACCGCGCCGCTTTAATGGCTGAACTGTAAGAACAAGAGCTTATTTACACACTTAACAAACACATACTGCGATTAAATCGCATACAACAGTGCAGCTGACTGTCCCAGAAACAATCCGGATAGTTTGTGTGGACATGCTCAGCCGCTACTTTCTGTTCGCTAGAGCACTAACGCGCGCGGCAGCTCTTCAGTCTGCTCAGGTGAAGCTGTGTGTCAGAGCTCAGAGACACTGCTGTGTGAGTCTACAGCCTGCCATAGCGTGTGCACAAGAGCAGGCCAACATCATGGAGGAGATCAACAATAACTCTGTGTCCACACAACAACAACACAACACTACACAACAGATGAACACTACCAAGGGTGAGGCATGCATGCTACTGTCCACGTGTCCTGTGCTTTACCTCAAGCTTTGACTAAAGGAATAGATGCCAAATCATTTGATTTAAGGCTTCATTTTATAAGACTGACTTAATGCACAGCGGTGCCAAATAATATTTTGACACTATAAATGGGTTTCCTTCATTTTTGAACTCTTAGTGTGTATAAATCAGCAGTGTTTTGGTGATTTTTTAGTGGAGGTGTGAAGTCAGGTCCACTGAACACAAACAAACTGGTTATAGGTGCTGACTGGGTCTTGGTCTGGAGGAAAATCAATGCTAAATGCAAATAGTAAATGCAACAATATGTGACCCTAGACCACAAAACCAGTTATAAGGGTCATTCTGAAAAGCTGAATAAACTATCTTTCCATTGATGTATGGTTTGTTAGGATCGGACAATATTTGGCCGAGATACAAGTAATTGAAAATCTGGAATCTGAGGGTGCAAAAAAATCTAAATATTGAGAAAGTCATCTTTAAAGTTGTCCAAATGAAGTTCTTAGCAATGCATATTACTAATCAAAAATTAAGTTTTGATATATTTACGGTAGGAAATTTACTAAATATCTTCATGGAACATGATCTTTACTTAATATCCTAATGATTTTTGGCATAAAAGGAACATCTATAATTTTGACCCATACAATGTATTTTTGGCTATTGCTACAAATATACCCCAGCGACTTAAGACTGGTTTTGTGTTCCAGGGACACGTATTATCATGGGTAGTTACGGTAGCAAAAACAATAGACTTGTCAACTTTTTAAAGTGCTTCCCATATCGTTTGTGTTTGATGTCCAATCAAACGCTACAGTATTTTGGCACACAGTCATCCTGCCAACATGAACATGTTGCGTTTCTTCAAAAAAACATACAACTTTAAGAAAATGCCAGCCAGACTAAATATGCAAGCAGTTGCATTCTGGAAAAGCGTGTTTTGTGCTGTGATTGCAAAATGAATCCATCTCAACTCAAGAGGTATTTGGAACGCATCAGGCCTATGCGGGATTTCAGTACTACAGTATTTGGTTTGGGTTTGATATCCAAAGTAAAACCTGCAGTAGCTTGTTATCTATAGGCAAAATGCAAACATCTATGAGTCTATAAGCACCAGCCGTGTTGCTTTTCTGTCCTTATTTGCTGTCTTTCTTTTCTTTGTAGCAGTCAAGAAGGTCAAAAAAGCAAAGAAAGAGCCAAAGAGAGTGGCAGGCAAGAAGCAGAAGGAGGCAGAAAGCACCTGCAGCCTGATGTCCGAGCTTCCCTTCGTGAACACAGAGGTCTGGAAGGAGCTGGGCTGTGAGTTCACACTTGCTCCTAGAACAACAGCAGAGCCGACTTACCTTTCAGAGCGGCGGTGCGATCCGGCTCCTGTAGGCTAGTCTCGTCTTCCAGGTGGAGGAATCATTGTGTTAAGCGCTGTGTGCAAGGCAGACAGTGAGAGAGCGGCGATGTTTGGTTGCCAGGCGAGATGTGGATCGTCCTTGTACCGCAGCTGCTCTTGCATTCAAATTTCCCAGCTGGCTACATGCTATGAATAAAACATTTGTTGTGCGGCGCCTCTCTCCCGGAGAGTTCAGCAATGCTTCTTCACGTTTGTCAGTGTTTGCTTCTCAATGGCGCTCACATTCTTAGAAGTACAGTCTGACTAGTGAACATGCTCCTGTTTCTAATGCAAATGATAAGGTCAGCATCAGAGTTCAAATGAATAGCAGCATAATTGTGAGTGAACTGAACCTGATGATCATGTTCTCCAGCATGATTTGAGATCTCGAGCTTCAGTCTGCCAGCCTGTACAGAGAGTCACATGATCAGTTTCACTCATTCACTGACAGTGGAAGCAATGCGCATTCATAACAACACACTTTGTGTTATATTACAGTGACATTAAATTACAGAAAACTAGTTAGTGTTTCTAATACAATTGGAAAAAGTAAAAGCAAATCTGACATTTTTCTCTTCTAACAAATGTGTTTTTCCCCTCTTTTGCAAAGTCATAGAAATGCTATCATGGATTTTTGCTATTAGTGCAAACTGAAATGCAAGAAAATGATATTTGTTTAAACCACTGTAGAGGTTTACCAGCTGTGACGACTTACTGAACGTGACGAGGGTCCGTCGGATTAGTCACCTAGAGATAGTGCACAACACCGTTTCACTTTCTGTGTATTTGCTGTGTAAATGAGGTGAAATGTTTGATTTTTGGTGCGCTCTCCGAATGCTTGTCTTTGTGTTTCAGTCTCCAGCGCAGAATCGAGCGTGAAGAAGAAGCGTAAGAGAGGAGACAGCGCTCGAGTGGAGAGTGAGGAGGATGGTGAGAAGAAGAAGAAGGAGACGGCTCGCCCAAACTACTTTGTCTCGGTGCCAATCACAAACCCAGAGGTACGAGCCGGAGCCAGTGACAGAGTCATGCTTACAGCAGAGCCTCTCATGTGCCATGCTGACAATAAATAATATCTCAATATGGATAATTAGACGATATTTAGCTGATTGTTTGTGTGCTGGTGTCTTGGTCAGTTCACAGCAGTGACAGAAATACGAAGCAGTTTTTGCGATTTTTTTTGGGGCGTTCTGACCTTTATAAGGACAGTTTTCTCTAGCCTTATTAGAGGTATGCATCATCTTTATGTCAAGTTCTTACATTTAATCAATAAATTCAGCTACAGTAAGACACTATAGGCTGTTAGCAATCAGATGAAATCAATATAAACAAAATCCATCTTTGCACAGCAGAAGTGGCACAGAAGCTGCATCTGAAGTGGCATTTAGATGTGTTTACATTGCAATTACAGTTGCATAAAGAATGCTATGTGATTAATGCTTTAAAATAGTGTTTTGAATATTTAAATAATGTTGATGAGCCCTTCAGAATGGAATGCAGTGGCTGTCTTTAAGAATGGATCATTGAATCATTGATTTGTTCAAATGCACTTGATTCTTTCAGTAGTGAATCACCACTGTGTTGCTCAGAGACACTCAACAGTTCTGCTGTGGCTTTGTGTGGAACTATTTTCACTGGTGAAACAGAGCAAAAACAGACAATATTGTGTCTAAAATGTAATTTGCTATATTAACTTTTTAATGATAATGTTTGTTGAACTGTTGTATAAAATCACATTTGCAGTTGTGCTGATATTCAGAAAAAAATAGCAAGCTTGCTTGTGACATGTTGCTTAACTATGTCATATAGAAATATAAGACAAAATCTCACTCATTTTTGCCTCCATATATTGAATATGGGGGTGATTCTAATATAGGCCACATCACACAGTGAATGCATGGACTCACATGGTGTGTGTTTTCGTTTGTGAGTGACATACTCAGTTTATAATGTCACCTTTAACATTGCTAAAACAACAGATTTGACATCCTTTCTGTTCATCCCAGTGTACATTAGAGAAACAAACTCTTCCTGTTCTTTCACTGTTAAACTGAAGCTGTGGCTTGTCAATAGTCAACTATGTGAGCACTAGAACATGATTCGTTTGATATCTTATGTTTTTAATGTAATAGTGATTATTCTATGATATGTTTGAGTTTTTTGTGTGCGTGTGTGCGCGTGTGTGTGTGTGCGTGTCTGTGCGTGTGTGTGTGTGTGTGTGTGTGTGTGCGCGCGAGAGTGAGTGTGTGTGT